AGCCACATTCTTATTCCTAGTCTGTTTCAGTCTGGAAGTTCTGAAACCTATTCACCATGAGTGACCCTGCTGGTATTTGAAATACCATTGATATACCTTCCAGCAACACAGGAACACGCAAGCCAACACAGTACAATAAACTGACAGATGAGTGATAGATCAGTTTTATTAGTGGGTGTGGAAATTGTCTCTCATTGTGATTTTGATTTTCATTTCCTTAATAATAATGGTGCTGAGCATCTCTTCATTTGTTTATTCAATTATATGTATCTTGCTTGGAGAATGATATTCAAGTCCTTTGCTCATTTTTAAATTACATTGTCTTTTTGTTGTTGGGTTGTAGGAGTTCTCTATATACTTTGGATATTAAGCCTTTATCAGATATATTATTATCAAATAGTTTTTCTCCCATTCTGTAGGTCTCCCTGGACCTTCTAAACTATGCTAACCAGGAGGGTTTTCTCCCAAAGAAAATGGAGACATAGTGAAGAATTTCAAGTAAGATAGAACTAAGGGCTTTAAAAAAAAAATGGTTAGAGAAATTGGAACTTTAAGAGGAAAATCATGCAACTGTTAAAATAAACCAGACCAATAATATCTGCAATCCTGCCCTAAGGAGCAGCAAAGTGACAATGATATGGAGACTAACAAGTGATTGTGTTATGTGCACATAGGACATAGAGGCCATGGTCCAATCCCAAAGGAAAGATGATGCTAACAAGAGCTGATTTAAAAAGACCCTAGTGGGCAAAAGTAGGCACCCCAGCATGGAACTACAGTACCAGGGCAGAAGCATATTCCTATAGTAAAAGAGGTTGCAGACTATTTTGTACATAACCCATTTCAGTCGTAGTAGATGTAAGAAGAGGCAAGGGCCAACAGAGACATGCACGGCCAGGCTTCAGCCCTAATAAAGGATAAAAAAGAAACCAAGGGTTTTGACAGTATACTGTCTATACTTTAAACTCCAGGACAATTGCCTATTTCCAGATTTACTTTTACCACACATACCCCTGACCAAACTCACATATCATCAGTGACAGGAAAGACTTTCTTAGAACTTCCTAATGCAGTAGTTCTCAATAAAATTTCAAAAATGTCTTATCTTGTGATTATATTCCTTTGTCTCTCACACCATGGCCAATACTTTCACCTGGGCCACTCACTCACACAGGCATGTTCAGTCTTTTAAACTCTCTGTCTAAATGTGTAACACTGTATGCCATTTTTCTCTTGTAGGCTCTCCATTAATTGAAAGATGATGAATGAATACAAGAAAATCATTCTCTTGAAAGGCTTAGAGGCCATCAGTGATTACCAGTTTAACACAATTAAGTCTTTACTAGCTTATAATTTGCAATTGATTAAAAAATGCAAGAAGAATATTATGATATTAAGATTGCAGACTTGATTAAAGAAAAGTTCCAAGGAAATGCCTGTGTGGACAAACCAGTAGAATTGTTCAAAGATATTCCACAACTTACAGATCTTGTTAAAACATTTAGAATGTTGTTGTTGTTAGGTGCCGTGGAGTCAGCTCCAACTCATAGTGACCCTATCTACAACAGAATTAAACAGTGGCTGGTCCTGTGCCAGCCTCACAATCCTTGCCATAACTGAGCCCATCATTGCAGCCACTGTCTCAATCCATTTCTTTAAGGGCCTTGCCCTTCTTCACTGACCCTCCACTTTACCAAGCATGATATCTTTCTCCAGGGAATGGTCCCTTCTGACACATGACCAAATTAAGTGAGACGAAATCTGGCCATTCTCTCTTCCAAGGAGCATTTCAGCTGCACTTCTTCCAGGACAGATATGTTCATTCTTTTGCAGGCCATGGTACTTTCAGTATTTCTTCACCAACACCACGACTCAAAGGCATCAACTCTTCTTCGGTCTTCCTTGTTCATTGTCTAGCTTTTACATGCAGATGAGGCAATTGAAAATGCCATGGCTTGCGTTAGGCACATCTTGGTCTTCAAGGAGACATCTTTGCTCTTCAGCACTTGAAAAAGGTCTTTTGCGGCAGATTTGCCCAGTGCAATATGTCGTCTGATGTCTTGACTGCAGTTTCTATTGGTGTTGATTGTGGAACCAAGTAATGTGAAATCTTTAACAACTTCAATCTTTTCTCTATTTATTGTGATGCTGCTTATTGGTCAAATTGTGAGGATTTTTGTTTTCTTTATGTTGAGATGTAATCCATGCTGCAGACTGAAGTCTTTAATCTTCATCAGTAAGTGCTTCAAGTCATGCTCACTTTCAGCAAGCAAAGTTTTTTTGCCTGTTATGAAGTTTAGTTTGTGTGTCAACTTGGCTGGGCCTGGTTGAGTGGCTGGGCAGCTGGATGTAGTATTCACCATGATGAGATTGGTAATCAACTCCATGGTGGAATCTACTGTGAGCAGCTGAGTAGCTATCTTGGGGAATGTGGTCTACTTCCTGGATATAAGCAGAAGCCTTGGGGAATGGTCTCTAGCTTATGGCATGCTTGAACCCTGCATGTAGCTGTGTCATTGTTCAGCAGCCTGCCATGCTCTGCTGACCTTGGGACTTAAAATGGACTTGAATTAATGGTCTGCTGTGTGGTTTGGTAACATTGGGACTGTGCCATTTCATTTGTTGACTTTGAGTTTGTTAGCCTCAGCAGCTCATAACTGCCTGTGTGATGAGATGCCTCTAGCTTCAGTGGGCCAGGAGCAAGAGGCAGAGCTGAATCCCAAGGTCAAGGGGCTTTCACACAGCCCCTAGAGCCTGTCACTTTGAACTTGGACTTAAGCCTCCGAACAGCAAGAGAATAAACTTCTGTTTCTTCAAGCCATCCCATTCTTGGTATTTTCTTGTCAGAGCAGCACTAGGTAACCAGAACACCTGTGTATTGCAGGTTGTTAATGAGTCTTCTTCTAAAACTGATCCCATGCTCTTCTTCATACAGTCCAGCTTCTTGTATTGTTTGTTCAGCATACAGATTGAATAAATATGGTGAAAGGATACAACTCTGATTCACTTCTTTCCTGATTTTAAACCATGCAGTGTCCCCTTGTCCTGTTTCCTGGTCTATGTAAGGCTCCTGATGAACACAATCAAATGTTCTGGAATTCCTATCCTTCTTAATGTTATCCATAATTTGTTATGATCCACACAACCAAATGCTTTTGCATGGTCAATAAAACACAAGTAAACATCTTTCTGGTATTCTTTGCCTTTAGCAAGATCCATCTGACATAAGCAATGATATCCCTCATCCCATGTCCTCTTCTGAATCCAGTTTGTACCTCTGCAAGTTCTCTGTCAATATATTGCTGCAACCATTTTTTCAATTATCTTCAACAAGATTTTACTTGCATGTGATATTAATGATATTATCTGTCAGATCATCATACTGTAGTGGCTTGTGTGTTGCTCTGAGGCTAGAGGCTATGCCACCAGTATTTCAACTATCATCAGGGTCATCTATGATGGACAGGTTTCAGTAAAGCTTCCAGACTAAGACAGACTCAGAAGAAGGAAGGGCCCATCCTTTTCTCAAAAAATAGGCCAGTGAAAACCTTATGAAAAACTGTAAAACTTAAAATAAAGAAGATAAAAGGCAATGAGGAACACTCCCTTACAAGCACACTAATCGACTCTCCCCAAATTTGAATAAAAACCTGTTTGGTCAGAGTCAAAGCATCCATTTTCCAATTTATAATCAGTAGTCATGATAGTGTTGGTATTTTAGATGCAAACTAGTTCACAATTTAAGGCATTCCCTTTTCTATAAAGTGAGTGCAGATAAAAAGAAAAGAAAAGAAAGGCAAGGAGAGTTTATGAGAGAGATTGAGGTCTAATATAGTGCCAGAAGGTGAGCCCATCAGGTTGGAAGGCACTCAAAATTTGACCAATGAAGAGCTGACTCCTCAGAGTAGAGATGACATTAACAATATGGATAGAGCAAAACCTTCAGGAGCTCTAAATGGCTGATATGGCATGACTCAAAATGAGCAGAAACATGCAAATATCCATTAATAATTGGAACATGGAATGCATGAAGTATGAATCTAGGAAAATTGGAAGTTGTCAAAAATGAAATGGAACACATAAAGATTGATATTCTAGGCATTAGTGAGCTGAAATGGACTGTTTGGGCCTTTTTGAATCAGACAACCATATGATCTACTATGCCATGAATGACAGTCTTCCTTTTGAGGAGTAACAGGTGGGTTTGAACCACCAGCCTTCTAGCTAGCAGTCAAGTGCTTTGGGCACTATGCTACCAGAGCTCCCACTAGGGAAGTAATAGAAGAGGAATGGTGTGGCATTTGTTATTACAAAGAGTGTTTCAAGATCTGTCCTGAAGTACACTGCTGTCAGTGATAGGAAAATGTCCATACACCTACAAGGAAGACCAGTTACTACTACTATTGTTTTTATGTGCCCTTGAGTTGGACTTGACTCATAGTGACCCCTCCTTGGGTTTCCAAGGCAGTATCACTACAGAAGTAGATTGCCCAAATTTCCTTCCAAGGAGTGGCTGGTGGGTTTGAACAACCAACCTTCTGGTTAGCAGTCAAATGACTTAGGCACTACACCAGAGCTCCTTACTGAGGCAGAAGTCAGACATATTACCATGCTTCAAACTTTTTACCAATTCTGACACCAACCATCCCTCCAATGGCACTCTCTACTTCTCTGCTTGGTTTGAAAATTCATTGCAATGAACACACAGATGATACTCATGATTATGGGCTTTGTTAGGGAAGGATAAACCAAAAAAATGAAACTCACTGCTGTCGAGTTTGTTCTGACTCATAGTGACCCCTTCTTGGGTTTCCGAGGTAGTATCTCTGAGAAAGTAGATTGCCCAGTCTTCCTTTTGAGGAGTAACAAGTGGGTTTGAACCACCAGCCTTCTAGCTAGCAGTCAAGTGCCTTAGGCACTATGCTACCAGAGCTCCCACTAGGGAAGTAACAGGATACAATTCAGGTTCAAGAGCACTCAGGCCACACATCTTCAATCAGGACAGTGTCCCTTCAGCTTTGCCCATAAGCATGCCTCTCTTTGGCTCTTTGCCTCTCAGCCTGGCCTCTACCCTTCTCAGACAAGTGTTCCAAAAGGATTCAGTGGAAGTGATGGTCCTGAAAGCAAAAGAGCCATTTGAATATGAGTCTGAAGGAGATGGTAAAAAGACAATGCTTCACACCACAGTGGTGACAGAAAATAAATTCTTCCAAGCAAAGGTTTTCAACACCAACCTGAAGAGGAAATTTACCAAAGAAGGGTCATTGCCATTACAGATTATTTTGAATACAAAGCATTACCGGGGAAAAATGAAGCATCATCTGTATCTGAAGCTGGTTCTGAACAGAAGATTGAGGTCCCAACCAGAATTATCAAAAGTGCAAATGAAACTCTCAAGATCGATACTTTTCAAAAACAAACCAGGAATATAAGTGTATGGGTTGTTTATGTTAATAAGGTAATAATTTAAAATATTTTTATTATTTTTCTTTTCATTTTCCCCCATCAACACATAAAATTAAATGTCTTGACTTAGTAATTGTTGCTTTGCCTATTGACCTAACATTGGAAAAAGAGAATCTCTCTAAAACTAGAAATAAGTTATCAATCTCCCCATATGATAGGAAATGGGAGTAGCTGACCTATTAACTTTCTTTATCCCAAGATATCTCTATGCAAGTTCTTTGAAAAAGATTCACTACAAGGCCTTGGCATTTTGATCAATATGACAATCTATTCAGAACCATAATGAGCAAGGATAGTGCAGAGTCTAGATCAGTATTCATATGCTAAAGATTTTATTTCTTTGACCTCCAACCTAATTATATAAGTAATAATTTTATTTTGAATGTTTATACATTTATTTTATATAACGGATTGCCCTACCAAGCTTAAATTCTGTTTGTGACTTGTATTTAGCGTGGTAAATAGATTTCCTGATGTTCCCCAGAATGCAAATACATTTAGCAATTAAGAATATGATCTAATGGTGTAACCATTCAGAGCCATCTCCTCTATTTTATTTACTTATTCACTTATTTTTGAAGATATTATTGAACAACTGAGAAAAATGGAATTACTTGATATTGCAAACAAATCCCCAAAAGTACACAACTTACAAAATTAAAAAAAAAAAAAAAGAAAGAAAGAAAAAGAAAAGGCACAGAGAATTTTACTGATATAAAATAAAAAACCAAACTCACTGCCGTGGAGTCAGAACTGACTCATAGCAACCCCTCCTTGGGTTTCTGAGGCAGTATCTCTATGGAAGTAGATTGCCCAACCTTCCTTCTGAGGAGTGGCTGGTGGGTTTGAACCACCAGCCTTCTGGTTAGCAGTCAAATGCCTTAGGCACTATGCCATTGGAGTCCATGTGCAAATATAGGGTAATAGTTTGGGTAATACATTCAATCTGAAAATTGTCTATAAACTGCTTTGAATTCAGCTGAAATCTTAAATGACTGACTGCTTCATAATACTATCATCTAGTATAGCCCCTTACTTACATCTTCATTGTTTTCTATGCATGCTTTTTAAGAGACCACGCTTATAAGATGTGATTATAAAATTGCTGAGTTATGGCTTAAAGGAGTGAAACATAATGGAATGCAAGCTGGGTACTTAGATCAATGGGGACAAGATACTAGAGATGAGTGAGTAAATGGGAAAAGTTGAAAAGCAATTAGTGAAGTACTAGAAGTTTTCTTGTTATACTTCTTCATTCTATTCAATGAGGTCTGTAGCAGTGGTTGATTTATTTCTACATAAGGACAGAAGCCAAACAAGTACATCAAAAATTTCTGATTCCCCTATATCCAAGTGCTTTAAGGAGGAACCAGCTGAAAATAGAAAGAAAACCCTTTGTTCTGGAAATGTCAACCACAAAAACACCTAGAATAGAAAAAACTAAAAAGCAGATTAAATAAAAGGAGGGAGCTCTGAGATAACCTATTTCCCACTCCATGTGCATATGTATATTTAATTACTGTCTAGATCTTGTACTTAAAAAAGGCTAGAGGGACTAGGACAGAGCAAGGAGTCAGCTGCAGGGATCCACGTGAAGGGAGGGAACCCAGGCCATGCCCCACAAGCAGCAAGGTGGGAAAGCAGAAGAAAGGAGAGTAAAAAGGCTAGGGGAACCGGGACAGAGTGAAGAGTCAGCCACAGGGATCCAAGTGGGAAGAGGGAACCTAGGCCATGCCTCAAAGCAGCAAGGTGGGAAAGCAGGAGAAAGGAGAGTAAAAAAGGTGAGGGGGACTGGGACAAAGTGAGGAGTCAGCTGCAGGGATCCAGGTAAGGAGAAGTTGAAGAGGTTTCCAACAGCTAAGGGAGACAAACTTGTCTGTCAGTTTGTCCTCGTGTGGTGATGTGTTGCTGTGAGTCTTGAGGCTGAGCCACTGGTGTTGCAAACCCAGTGGGATGCACATGGTGCACAGGTATCAGCCCAACTTGCAGACTGAGATAGACTACTTCTCGAAGAATTGGCCAGGGAAAACCTTATGAATAGCAGAGAAATACCATCTGATACATTACTGCACAACTTTATGAGTAGTCCAGAAACATTGTCCAATACAGAGGAGGAGGATGAGTCACTTAGGTTAGAAGGCTCTTAAAATAGGACTGGGAAAGAGGTGCATCATCAGAGCAAAACCAGCCTTACTCATATAGATAAGATAAAGCTTTTGAGACCTCCATTTGCTGACATGGCACTACTCAAATTGAGGAGGAAACAGTGGCAAACATCCATTAATAATTGGAACATGGAATGTACAAAGTATGAATCTAGCAAAATTGGAAGTTGTGAAAAATGAAATGAAACACATAAAGATTGATACCTTAGCCATTAGTGAGCTGAAATGGACTAGTTTTGGCCATTTTGAATCAGACAACCATATGGTCTACTATGCCGGGAATGGCACTTTGAAGAGGAATGGCATGGTATTCATCATCAAAAAGGATGTTTAAAAATCTGACCTGAAGTACAATGTTGTCAGTGATAGGATAATATCCATATACCTACAAGGAAGACCCGTTAATACGACTATTATTCAAATTTATGCACGGACCCGGCCCGCAGGTCAGTCAACGGAGACCCTGAGGGAGGGAGTGAGGAAAATAGGACAGGAGACACGAGAAATGGAGACAAGACAGGAGTTCTGATCAAGTCTCAGCCTTATTAGATTCAGAGCGAAGTATGACGTTTTTCAAAAGGCAGTTACATAAGGTGGTGTTGGACGTTAATGATTGGTACAAAAGGCAGGTTTAAAAATAACAGGCGTCTAATAGGTAGAAAAAGGGCGCGTGTACAGATCTGGCAAAAGCTGATTGGTGAGGTTTTGGGACTTTCCAGTTTCTTCTAAAGGGGAAGTCCCTCCTCGAGCCTTTTTAGTCCTCTAACAAAGAGTGCTTCTGATTGGTGCTGGAAAGCTCACAATGCATCTTTTGAAAGATTAAGGCATGGGTAGTGCAGTAAGGGTCAGGGCGGGAAGTAAAGGAAAGATTTAAGTAAAGGCCTTCTTGTTTGTCAAAGACTGCTGTCTCCAAGATAAGCAACTCATGGGGCATAAATCCTGGCTCCCCACAGGTCCCCCTTTTTTATTTCATCAACACAGGTATTTATGGGGCTGTGCCTGTCTTAGGTTGGCAGATACACCTCCCTGCCCTTACCTGTCATCGGGATTCGTGGATACTTTGCCACAATCCCTGTCTTAGGTTGGTGCGGGGGCTTCCACTCTTACCCGTCGTTGGCTATCCAGCCCATCACAATCATCAAAATCATTCATATTTAATCTGTGATAATGGACCTGTAATGGTTGCATCTTCACAGCGTCTATTTGTTGTTTTACAAAGGCCATTAATTTGTTGAAAAGAAAAGGCCCTAGCGATAGTAAAATTAATAAGCCAAGCATAGGTCCTAAAAAGGGGAGCAAATAAGGGAGGAATTCATTAAGGCCGTTCCATAAGGGATTTTCAAGGAGTTCTTTTCTACGTTTTTCCAAGTCCTCTTGTAATTTCTTGATCTTGTCTCTGACAACTCCAGATTTGTTGACGTAAAAGCAGCACTTCTCCTGTAAAACCAAACAAATACCGCCCTGTTCCGCGGTAAGTAAATCCAACCCTCTTCGATTTTGCAGTACCACCTCTGCTAGAGAGTCTACTTGATCTTGTAAGTCTTGTATGGTACCAGACAATGTCTGTACATCATCAATTAACTATTTAGACAATTTTGCATACTTGCGTACTGCTACTCCCAGGCCTGCAGAGCCTGTAGCAAGGGCTCCAGAAACTCCCAATCCTACTAATAAAGGAATAAGTTGTACAGCTCTTTTATGCCTGCCAGCAATATGATCAAAACTGGGTACAGGCACTGGTTCAGTTCCGGGGATAATGCTAACATCAGGGAGAAGGGTAGCAATCACACAACTCCCAGTCCAATTTTCAGGTAAATAGGTATAAGCAAGATTGGACCCACACACAAGCACTGTTGAATTACCAGCACACAACTCAGAAGATATGTTAAAATATTCCTTACAATCAGCAAATGTTACCAGTCCTACATCCAAGCTGAAACTATTATTTTGATAGGGTTTACGGAAACATGTAACGTTCCAAGACTCTACAGGTTGAACTAAAAAGGGGGGAGTAGGTAAACAACTATAATTATCATATAAAATGTAATTATACGCAGGAATAGCTATGGGGACTGGGGATCCTTGTTGCAAACACAACCAACAATCTTGTGCTAAACTAGGGTTGGAGGTATTAATTAATTTATAAGTGGCCATTAATATATCCAGGGTTTGGGTATCTATAATCTCTTTTCTATTAGAGGTAATCTTTACCAAAGGGTGGTAATCAAGGCGGGGATATTGATTTTAGATAATCTGTTCAATAAGTTCTTGTACTTGAATTTGCCTGACTTGATCCTGTGGACCACCACCATCAGATATATGCACTGGGGATGTCGTTTCCCAACATATGGGTTGACCGACTGTACCTTGACATCCCATGGTCATAAGTTTATTTGTTGACCCGAGAACTTGGGTGTCACTCCGGTCTCCTCCTGCACTGCCTGGTCTTTTTTTATTTAAGATGGTGGTAAAATATGTTTTTTGATTGTAAGTACACTTTTGAAATGATGAGTAACATGAACTGTGCATAGATTGGTAGAAGGTGGTACAGGGACAAGGTCCAAGATGACCTCCTATCGTAGATATAATGTTAGGATGTTTAACACATTGCCATTTATTGATTCCTCCTTTGACATTTGTATCTAATACTAAATAGATGGTCTTATCCCCGCACTCTACAGTGCTAGAATAGGGATTCTCGGTATTGGGTGGGGTGGAAGAAATGCCTCCCAGGCATTCGCAGGGGGCCCCTTGCGATTGTTGTTTTAGCTGTCTGGCTATATTGGGGTCATCGAAGCCACAAAACACAAGGGGGAGAAAACACCAACTGATGAGTAAGTGGGCCAACATTTTCTTCCTCATTCTTCTTCCTGTGAAAACAAGAAGAGTTTATCTCAGTGAGTTGTTGTTCTCACTGGATAGGTTATTAGGGTTATCTGTCTGTTTTACCAGTCTCTCGGGGAGCCATCGTGCAGCGTCTAAGCTTTTTGAATATATACAAACTGCACCTCGTCCCCAAATCAGCACTGGGTCTGGACCATTGCCACGTGTTGTCTAAAGGATCTTTCCATAGTACTGTAGCAAAGCCCCTTTTAGTGTCTGAGTGCCCAAAACCCTCGGCTGCTGAGCGTCCCTCCTTATCTAAGGTTAAAAAATTTAAAATAAAGAGTAAATGGGACAAGAGGTTATGAGGGGATCCCTTAGTGGGATACAAATCCCCCTTTTTAATTTTATTTAAATTAGTTTTGATGGAAAGGTGGGCGTGTTCAACTATACCTTGCCCTTGAGGGTTATAAGGAATTCCTGTAACGTGTACAATATTAAGCTGCAAACAAAATGTTTTAAAATTTTTTCCTGTATAACCTGGACCATTATCAGTCTTAAGCTTAGCAGGCAAGCCTAGAACAGAAATTGCGGACAACACATATGCTATAACATGCTTAGAAGCCTCACCAGTTTGTAAGGAGGCAAAAATAAAACCACTAAAAGTGTCTATAACTACATGCACATATTTAAGAGCTCCAAAATCAGAAATATGGGTAACATCCATTTGCCAAATGGCATTGGGGAGAAGACGTCGGGGATTAACTCCTAGATAAGGTGTAGGGAGAAGAGTGACACAGTTGGGACACTGCTTTACTATGTGGTGAGCCTGTTCTCTGGTTATTTTAAACATTAATCGTAAGGTTTGGGCATTCAGATGATGAAGAGCATGAGCCCTTTGTGTAGCTTGGACACCAATAGGTGATTGAGCGAGAAAAATTTCTCTGGTGGCGGAGTCTGCGAGGGCGTTTCCTTGAGATAAAGGACCAGGGAGTCCTGAATGTGCTCTCAAATGTCTAATATTAAAAGAATGTTGTCAGTGCCAAATTAAACCTTGTAATTGTCTAAAATATGAAGTAGCCTCTGAGGTTTGTTTAATTTGTGCGGCGGTTTCGAGGAGTGGCACAGAGTTAGCTATGTAAGCACTGTCTGTATACAAATTAAGAGGC